CAAAAGACACTTTCTCTCCCACGAAGAGCAGCAGTGGAGAGAAGCAGCTGCTGACCCAGAGACCACATGGAGCGTCTCTATGAGTGACTGAGCCACAGCAAGGAATGGCTTCAAGATCTCCACTGCAGCCAGCTAAGAAGAACTGTCTGGTAGTTTGAGGCCAGAGGGCGGCTGAAGCATGTGGGCAGAGGCCCGGAGAATGGCGCATTCCCCAACCCGGTTGAGGTGGGTGGCGAGCAGGCGGAGGCTCTGGGGCTAGGCCAGAGCCGGGGAGTGGCATGTGCCTGGGCCCCGACCTGAGGTGAAGGGTGAGCAGGCAGCATGCTTACCTTTGGTGAGCAGAGTGGACGAGGCATGGAGGCAAGGCACAGAGATTAGCTGCGTGGCGAAGGAACGATAATATACAGGACAGGGTGGGGTGGGGTGGAGTGGGCGGGTCCAGCCAATGGTCGATTTTACCAGTTCTCCGAACTGCGCAAAATCATAACAACCAGTTCACCCGAACTGGTCTGAATCCCACCCCTGAGTTTAGTTGATTATGGTCATGGATCAGTAAGAATGTAGTGAATCATCACACTTTTCCACTTTTGTTTCATAAAACTAATTTTTTCTCTTTCAACAACAACAGTAGCAGCAGCAGCAACAGAAAGTAAAGTGCTAGTCTTTCATCTTCCCACTATAATGATGCATTTCCTAGTTTGGTCCCTTTTATTAGCCTTGCTGTCCAATAATTGTGTTGGCAACTAGGAGCTGGGAGGCAAGGAAAGCCAGTCAGCCCTTCAATTTTTATGAATACCAACCCTGTACAACAGAATATTTATTAATTTCTTCAGAAAATGTAAATGACCACCTATTTATACCTGATAATTCTTGATGGCGCACAACAACATGTCATAAAATAAAAATAAATAGAACCCCAACTCTCTCAAAATAACATCACATATCCTGCCATGGCACCACAATATACAGTATTACCAATTGTATATTTACACTTGCTGGGCTCACTTCCATCCTAACCCAATGCCGGAGTGAAGAGCCATGTCTTCACAGCCCTCCAAAAGGCTAATAACATGAGGTCCCTCCAAATCTCAGGATGGGGATTGTTTCAAAGTGTCTGGGCATCCATAGAAAAGAGAAGGGGCCCAGAGTGTTGCTCATCCTATGCCACCTAATGGGATGGGCAGTTACTTTTAAGGAAAGCTGGTTCCATAAATAGTGTGTTGGCCTTTAAAGGTGATAAGTAGCTTCCTCTGCAGTACCAGCTGCTGCTAGCAAATGGAAACTCTTCATTTACCTGGGACTTCATATCTGTAGTAAGGGGGAAGTCATGAGCCAGTGTGATGATAAAGACTAGGATTGTGCATGCTCTGAAATTGATTTGAGAGAATTTCTTTGGATATCACACTAGCATAAAACCAGCACTCTGCTATTCGTTAAAGCATTTTAAGTTTAAAAGAAGAGAGGTAGAGAGGGAGAGGGAGGTTGCTGCTTTAGAGATGTGTGTTCAATTCAAGATCATTCCGATTCCACCACAAAGCTAGTTGTTCAACTTCCTGTCTGTATGCAGATTTGTCATTGTCTCGATGTTGTTTCATCTGCAAACTTCAGTACTTTAACAGAGGGATCCTTTGAGATGCAGTGGTTGGTATACAACGAAAAGAGTAATGGAGAGAGCACACAAGCCCTGGGGGACACCTGTGCTAATTGTACAGGTATCTGATATGATTTTGCCTAGCTTTACCTGCTGCTTCCTATCTGTTAGAAAGCTTATGATCCACTTACAAGTATGGTCGGACACAGCTAGCTGAGTCAGTTTAGTGAGAAGAATATCTGATGGTATTGAATGCCCAGCTGAACTCTACAAAAAGGACCCTTGCATAGGTCCTTGCAGATTCAAGATGTCATAAGATAGCAATAGCAATAGCACTTAGACTTATATACCGCTTTACAGTGCTTCACAGCCCTCTCTAAGTGGTTTATAGAGTTAGCATATTGCCCCCAACAATTTGGGTCCTCATTTTACCCACCATAGAAGAATGGAAGGCTGAGTCAACCTTGAGCCTGGTGAGATTTGAACTGCCAAATTGCAGGCAGTTGGCTGTCAGGAGAACTTGCCTGCAGTACTGCACTCTAACCACTGCACCACCGTGGCTCATGTAGTGCAGTGCCATATTAACAGCATTATCTGCCGATCTAGTTGCTCGGTAGGCAATTTGAATGGATCTTACAGTGATGGTTTTCAGGTGGACCAGCACTAGCCTTTCAAAAGTTTTCATAACTATGGATGTCAATTAAAGCTTGCATCAAAACTGAAAAGGTTAGACAACTTTAATAAATAAATTCTGCCCTTGTGCCTGCACAAGATCCAGAGTATTTATTTCAAATACTTTTTTTAAAACAGGCACAATTCTAGTAAATACCCAGCAAATTGGCAGTTTCATTTGCTTCATGAGTAGTTCTAACCCAAAATTTAGTAATGTGGAGTAATGTAGTCATATCCAGAGTAAGTCTTCCATAAAATTGGTGTACTAATTATTTTTCATATTCTTATTAATCCTTGATAGATAGTAGATTTCATCTTCATTTACAAGCCTCATAGACATATTTTGACTGTTAATTGCTGAACCCCAAGAGGATCAACTTTAATTGGGGTTTCAGGTCTGAAACAGTAACAGAGACTGACTTCCAGGATCTGGAAAATGAAATAGTTATTCAAGATACTATCACCTTTCTTATTAATTTCCTGAACTTCCTTTGCTACTGATATACATCTGATATAGACCTTTAGATCTGCCAAGCTTAAGAACACAAAATCAGCAACTAGTTTATCATTTTCTGGAACAAGAAATTAATTCCCCAGACTTTAAGTTGGAAATTAGTGGTTTGCTATTAAAACCCTAAAAGATGTTTAATTTTAAAGGCTGCCGATTTATTATGGTTTTATTACAATGCACTTGTATGAATTTTGAAATATATTTTTGGAATGTTGGAAACAAATGTTGGAAACAAATTGAATTTAGTGTTCCTCTGAATATAGATTTGCCCTAATATGAGGGTTGAATGAAAAATAATACCCTAATATTATAAGTCACAAAGAACTGAGAGTATCCTATAAACTCAGCATATTTTATAGTATCTGTTCTTTCACTTCAGTTGACAGGAATTTGCTGTGGGAAAAGCTGTTGTTCATGAAATTGAAGCCTGCTGTGAGTGCACTTTAAGCTACATGCCATGATTGATTTTTGACTGCCAAAAAAGTCCTCCAAAAATCCACTGCCAAACACAGGTTGTTTATGGTGATGATTGTATTGATGTGAGTACTGTGAGTCACCGGGCCAAAAAAGTATAAAGATGGTGAACCAGGAAGAGTATGATATGTGTGAACAAGAATGAAAAGTGAATAACCTGTGATGACAATCAATGGAGTTTTTACATGAGAAAGGCTTATGAACTAGTTAAGGACAATCAGCAAATCATGTAAAGGGAAACTGTGAAGCTTGGCATGTGAAAGGAATGTGGGTATCACATTATGGATGTTTATCAATATTAGAAGGGAGGTATGGTGACTCAACAGAAAGATGACAGCCAAGGTTCGAGATCCGAGCTCCATGTGATGGGGTGAGTTCCGTCCTAACCCCAGCTCCTGCCAACCTAGTAGTTCAAAAGCATACAAATGCAAATAGATGAATAGGTATCAATTCAGTGAGAAGGTAACAGTGCTCTGTGATGTTATGCTGGCCACATGACTGCAGAAATGTCTTTAGACAGCACTGGCTCAAGGGCCTTGAAATGGAGATGAGCACTACCCCCTATGGCAGGGGTCTGCAACCTTAAACACTCGAAGAGCCACTTGGGCCTGTTTCCCACAACAAATAAAACACTGGGAGCCACAAAACCTGGGTGGGCGTGGCCAACTCAACATCACTCACTCCCACCCAGTCACATGACACCCCCCAGCCAGATATTTGTGGTGCCAGGTATTTTCTTTTAAACAGGTCTTTCCCTTTCTCTCTCTCCCCCTTCCCCTCTCCCATCTTTCTCCCTCTCCCTCTTTCTCCCTCCTCTCTCTCTCTCATCTCTTTCTCCCTCTGTCTCCCTCCCTCCCTCCCTCTCTTTCTCTCTCCCCCTCTTTCTTTCTCCCCCTCTTTCTTTCTCCCTCTCTTTCTCATCTCCCTCCCTCTCTCTCTCTCGTCTCTTTTTCTTTTTCCCCTCTCTCTTTCCCCTCTCTCTGTCTCTCATCTCTCTACCTCTCTCTTTCTCCCTCTCTCCCGCCCTCCCACCCTACCTCCAGTTCCCTCTTGAACCATTTCCAAAAACAGGCGAGGGTTGGGGTTTTTTTTCCTGATGTTATTCTTTCTTCTTCTTTGGGTGCTTTTTACCATATCATTTAATTTTAAATTAAGAGTCATTTCAGGTTCCCAGATAAATGAAGCTCTTTTGTCCCCCTGCTGTAGCTCCCTGTCGGCTGGCTGCCCCCTCCCCTCCCCCTCCCCTCCTCCTCACTCCTCGCCTGCCCTGAAAAGAGAAGGGTGGTGGAGGCGGATGGAGACTCACTCCATATTTTAGAGCAGAAGCGAAGTGCCCCTCTACTTGCCTCTTTTTCTGGCCCTTGTTGGGAGATGCACAACTTTCTCCACCCCGAGTCACCAACTGGGCCACCCCAGCCGATGCTCCCTGTTGTAATGGGCTCCAGTAGGAGGAGGACGGCACGCCATCTCCCCCATTCTGCAGCGTGCTAAATTTTAGTGCAAGAGCAGCAAGCAGCCATGGAGGCAGCAAGAGGAATATGGGGAGATGCGCGACTTTCTCCACCCCAAAACACTGGCTGGGGCGCGTCTCCCCATATTCCTCTCGCCAGCTCCATGGCTGCTTGCTGCTCTTGCACTTAAACTTAGCATGCTGCACAATGGGGACATGGCACTCCCTCCTCCTCCTCCTGGAGCCCATTATGACACAGAGCATTGGCTGCAGCCGGGTGGCTCAGCCAGTGTCTCGATGCAGAGCAAAGTCATATGTGTCTCCCCAGCTGCCGAGGTGCGCACAGTGCCAACAAGGGTCGGAAAAAGAAGCAAGGGGGTACTTTGCTCCTGTTCTGGAAAATGGAGCCAGTCTATCCACCACAGTCGCCCTTCTTTTCTCATGGCAGGTGAGGAGTGAGGGGGAGGGGAGGGGCCACCCTGTGGTGAGATCATCTGACAGGGAGCGCAGAAGAGGGCCCAAAGAGCCACATGCGGCTCTAGAGCCGCACATTGCTGACCCCCGCCTTATGGTCAACAGTGACTAACAGAGTAAAATCTGCATTTTATGTAAAATGGGTTCCTCACATGTTGATACCAAGTATGAAAGCTTCAAGACATGAAATTTTCCAGTAACTGCTGTCATACTAGGAGAATGAAAATGAGAAGATTCTTCAAAGCATCATGTCAGCCAACAAAATGTTGTCTCATCATTTTGGTCCAGTAAAAAAGTGCCATCAAAAAGTTTTACCAGAGGGAGAGGACAATAAAAACTCAGATTTCATATGGAAAGCTCATGTTTACAATTTTTGAAGATGCAGATGGTATAATTCACTAGAATTTCCTTTAACTTGCCAGCACTATCAACACAGTGCTACATTGCAGTGATTAAACAGATTTTGGAAGCAAAAGAAAAAATTTTGGTGTAAGATAACATCATTGGCCTCATATCTCAAGAGACAATTGTGAGGTTGTATCTCATTTTGTTACCCCATCTGACATATAGTCTAGATTTGGCATCATGTGGCCTCAATGTTCTCCAAAATGAAGGAACACTGTCATGGACAACAGTTTAATTCAAATGAAAAGATAGACAGAACTGTCATAACCTGAATACAGAGAAAAATTAAGTTTTTTTTTTCATCATGACTTTAAGAACTTTGCCTATTGTTGGCATAAGTATATAGTGAATAGATGTGGCAATTCTCTGTAGAACTGAATACAGATAAGCAAAGGTTTCATTTTAGGAATTACGGTTCTCTTATTTATGAAAATATCCTTACTTTACCTAAATTATGGAAACGGAAGTAATACTTTTCATTTGGATTTTATTTCATTGCAATCATTCTCTTCAGAACATCATAAAGAAGTTACAATTATAAAACCATTTACCGTATTTTCCGGCATATAAGATGACTTTTTAACACATGAAAATCTTCTCAAAAGTCGGGGGTCATCTTATACGCCGGGTGTCGTTCTCCTGTAACCAGGCAGACCAGCCCGAAAGACTCTGACGAGCCTTAAATGACTCTGGCGATCCAAGCTCTGATGATCTGCTAATCAGGCAACTCAGCTGGGATCGCCAGAGCCCAGAGCCCTGTAAAAGGAAAACAGTTTCCCCCCTCCAGCTTGCTTACCTTAGCTGCTAATTGCAACGCTTGCCTTGCTTCGCTTGCCTGAATTGATTCCATCAGCAAGCAACTCCCTGCCTGCAATCAAGCAGGCAGGAGTTGTGGACTTCAACTCCCAGAATTCCTCAGCCAGCAAAACAAAGCTGGCTGAGGAATTCTGGGAGTTGAAGTCTACAAGTCTTAAAGTTGCCAAGGTTGGAGACCCCTATTCTATTGGGTAAGTTTTTTTCCCCTTTGGGAGCTTTAAAAAAAATAGTTAATTGGGGTTTTTTTTAGTTGTTCTTTTTTAGACCTAGCCATTTAAAGTTTAGGAAGTTTTAAATTTAGTTTTCATCTAAAAATAAAAATAAAATAATATTTGTGCAGCTTTCTGAGATTTAGTGTGTTTCTGTAGTGTTTCACTCTAACTACACAAACACAACATCTCACAAAGCTGTATGTGGAATTTTGTGTGTGTAAAGTGTGAAAGTTGTTTTTGGGGGCTTTTTGTGGCTGTGTGAGGTTCCTGCTTGTTGCAGGGGCCATTTGGGTCTAGCACAGCTGCTTTTACATTGTGGGTGAGCCAGTTGTGTTGTGTTGTGTGTGTGTAAAGTGTGAAAGTTGTTTTTTGGGGCTTTTTGTGGCTGTGTGAGGTTCCTGCTTGTTGCAGGGGCCATTTTGGGTCTAGCACAGCTGCTTTTACATTGTGGGTGAGCCAGTAGATGTTTTTTAATTTTTATTTGGTGTGCGTTGGAAGAGGGGTAGTCTTATACGGTGAGTATAGCCCAAACCCTATATTTTAACAGGAAAAGTTGGGGTCGTCTTATACGCCCAGTCGTCTTATACGCCGGAAAATACGGTAGTTCCCTAATTTTGAGCTGTCCTAAAACTTGGACCATATTTGGCATTTGATGAGTTTATATGTATGCCTTGCTGAAATATGCTCAATGAAAAGCTAGCTTCATATAAAAAAATATTGCATGGACTCAGTATGTTATCTGAAGTAAGCACCTCTAATAGTAATGAACTAATCTACCTTTAGCTCCTGTAAGTTGTTCTCATTGGGACATGACTAAGGTTGCTATATATGTATCTTTATTGCTATCTAGTGGTCGACCAAATGTTTGCAGCCTTGATATAGCATTACCTGCAGGTAAAATACTCGAGAGGCACTATTATACAACTGATTAAATTACTTTTCATTTCCCTATCCTTCTTAGGAATTCTGTGATACTGGTCTGATATATAAAACAGCAGTCACGACATTTTAGATAATTGCGAGAATCTTAAAATCAATGAATTATTGAAAGAACAGGGCATCCACATTGACTGGTGGCCATATCTGCAGATCAAATCTAGGCATCAAAAAGATAGGGAGGAATTTGGAATAGAGATGGGATCAAATAGATTTGACAAATTATTGACAGGCTCGGAAAACAAATTACTATCTAAATTATACAATTATTTGCTAGAATATGACAGAGCAGAGAAGGTGGTAAAGGAACAAATGATTGCGTGGGCAACCAACATAGGGCATAGTATTAATTTGGCAGATTGGGAAATAATTTGGAATAGGAACTATAAATTGACAAGAGTGGCAGCATTTAAAGAAAATCAGTATAAAATATTGTACAGATGGCACTTAGCCGCTACAAGATTAGCCAAAATTTACCCAAATTTGAGACCAAATTGTTGAAAATGAGACCACCACAAGAGTACCTTCTTTCACATGTGGTGGACATGTCCCGAGGCGATCAAGTATTGGAAAAAGATTTGAAAATGGATCCAGGAAGTAATTGAGGAAAACATAGATTTGGCACCTGAAACCTTTCTCCTGGGAGTACTAAAGAGGACATATGAGAAAAGAAAGAGATACTTAATTATACACATTATCACGGCAGCCAGACTAACCTATGCACAGCATTGGAAAGAAAAGAGAATACCACCAGAAGAACACTTAATTCGGAAAATCTTAGAATGCGCTGAGATGAGCAAATTAACATATGAGATTGAGGAGAAAGAGGAATCGGAATACTATATGGTGTGGGGGCTATGGTATAGATGGTTGGAAGATAGAATAAAGAAAGGAAGAGAGATAGCTTAGAATAGCCAAACAAGGGAGCAAATTAGGAGATATTATAAATTAAGAATGTATTCAATCTGTATTATATTATCACTGTCAAACCGATATTCTATGTATTGCACTATAACTACTCTAATAAAAATTAAAAAAAAACCAGCAGTCACATCTTTATGTGATTACTATGTGACAAGAAACAATGGATGGAATCTACTCAAAGACAGTGGCAACCTGGAATTAAGGAGAAACTTCCTAACAGTGAGGACAATTAACCAGTGGAACAGCTTGCCTTCAGAAGTTGTGGGTGCTTCATCACTGGAGGCTTTTAAAGAAAATACTAGACAGCCACCTATCTGAAATGGTATAGGGTCTCTTGCCTGAGTAGGGGATTGGATTACAAGACCTTCAAGGTCCCTTCCAACTCTAGTCTGATTGAAGACTTTTTTTTCTAGGAAGCAGCAACCAAAATGCTCCTATTCTAAGGAGCAGTCCTGAATTGTATAAAGAACATATTGCTTCAAAATATACAGCTGATTCTGAACTTTATAGTATCTATTTCTATACAATACAATCATATTAGAGAACACAGTACCAACATTCTACAACAGATTGTAAAAAATATTAATATCAGTGTAAATACATTAAATAAACATTGTTTTGTTTTGTTTTGTTTTGTTTTGTTTTGTTTTGACTCTATGAATGAAAGATCTCAAAGTGGTAGTTTTTCTTCTTGCATTGACCAAATTTTGTACGTGATTTCTGTAGTTTTAATACTCAGCATAGCCACTTCTTGTACTGCTAGCCTCTCTTTTCTCGTCCTTTTCTTTTTCCCCAGCAACACCATTTTTCCATATCTATTTCAGTCCTTGTGATGTATCCAAGGAATGATAGTTAAATTTCATGATCCTTGCTTGCAACACATTCTAACCACCCAACTCAAACATTACGACGCTGAAAAATATACCATAAAAAAAAGAAACAAAACCACAGAAACCATCACAAATCAGTTAAAGTCCAACTTAATAGGCAATGGGGGACCCACCCCCCTGTCTTCTTCCTGATATGAACTCTGATAATAAAAGATAATTAGGTGTCCTGCAATTTAATATGTTTGCGAGTAGGAGTTTGTTTTAACATTCAATTATTAAAGTGAAACACTTTGTTCAACAACGAATTCTAAGTGGAAAAATCACTTCTATTTGTCATTTTGAATTAAATTATTCCTTAGCTGATTTTAGAGGCATGGATTTTTGTGTGCATATGCATATATGTGTACAGGTGCAAGGAATATGAAATGGAGATTCTATAAGCCTACAGGAAGATAGTTGTTTGGATCTTCATTCTCTTTCAGACCATCCACTATTAAGAATTGATTAGTGATTCAAAGTAGCCCCTCTATGTAAACTACTTCATCCCCCAAATTCATCTTATTATGTGATCTACTGGTTTTCAAACATGGAGTCTGAGCTATGTAGGTAACCTTATATTTACCAGCCTAGGTACTCTTATTGGTAAAAGGGTTTGTTAGAATTTTATCCTCAGTTGTACCTGTGGGTAGAAGTGGTGGATCTATCAACTGGCTTTGCAGAGTCCTACACTCCTTTTTTTAATATAATATTTTTTACTAATGCTTGAATGAGCCTGAGGTTCATTCAACGGTTATGAATAATTATATTGGCTCCCCACACTATGCCATTGATAGACTTCTCCCAGTGAACGGGTAAAATTAGGCAATTATCCCATTCAATGGGTTGAATATTCTAGCATTTTTCAGATATTATATTAGTGTATCACATTATTAAAAGGCTGAACATAATGAAGGAAAAGATTCCTTGTGTGAAACATAATCCTTCATGTAAGTATTACTGTTGCACAGCCCTCCTTCTAATTAGCTTTATCATCAGCACTAATAGGACACTTGTCCCTAAAGACTATTCCTACTGTGATTCCAGATGGCCCTCTGAATTCTCAGAAGCTTTGCTGCCATGATAAATGACAGATGCGAGAGCTATAATCCGGTTTCAAGTCCAATAATGTTAGTTATGATGAAATAGCTAGTTGGATAGTGGTAAAGAATTGCAAAGCCATTGCATTCAGTACCAACATAAGAAGCTCAATGAAATGAAAACAAGCTAACCAACCAGCAGATGGTTCTCTTTCTGGGACAGCTTTGCAATACAATCTGCAAAATACTTCTTCGTAATTCTGCCATATTTCTAGAACAGATTTGATTCAAGAGTGAAAAAGGAGGGAAGTACCCCATGGTTGCCCACATTTAGAAGAGAAGAGCAGAGGGTGGTAAAATATCAAATCAAATTAGCTCAGAACACTCTACAAAAAAAAGCAAAAAAACAAAAAACCTTAATCCTAACATTAAGAAAACTAAAAAGTTTTAGCTTAGGCAATCGCCAAATTTTGTACTTCTTTTGAACTGTAGGTAAGATGAATGACACAAAATCAAACAACATCAATCCTGGTCTGATAGAAATGATAAGAAATAAGCATTGTGTTCTCTCCCAGGTTAGTTCTTGAAAATGGGATAAATAAAGATCTTCCGAAATTCTCTCTAAAGACAGAACAAAGGAGCACTTGGTTTGGGATCCCCTAGAGCCATTTCCAGATGGACATAAAAACTATTAAAAAAGAATAAAGTTTTTCTACCAGCCCCACTGAACCACAGAAGGTAGGGCAACCAACTTAGCCATGATGAAGGCCCAACAAAATTGGAATTGAAAAGAGCAATAAGTTGATAGCACATGGTAAAATCTATAGACATTAATTTAGAATCTAGAAGCCATCAAACCTTCTTCTGCATCATCATCACAACAGTGGGCTTGAATCCCATATGAATCTCCCCTTCACCAAATTGGGCACTTCCAAATATTCTTTCTGTACTCCCGCTCAACTTTTAGAATCACAAAGGACCTCTTTTTTCTTTTTCAAGGAAATATACAACCACTCATGTTCGAAAATACACATCATTTATAACTCCTCCCTTCAGAAGCAACTCCCCCTTTCCTCAGCTGCTTGACAATATTTTTTTTTACTCCTTGTTCCTGTTCGAACAGCAGGAAGCAAGTGGTAAAAAGTCCTGAGAAAAACCCTTGAGAACACTCCTTCTACATGGCTCAGGCTTGTTTGTTTCACTTCAAGGTTATCTGACTGAGAAGCAGGAAGTGGAAGTCATGTTCTTGATAAAACAATGGCTGACTTGGATGTTCCAGCAGAAGAGGAAGTGCTGTAGAAGCAACAGCAAAGGTGCCTCCCTCCCTTGCGCCTTCCTTTCCCTGCTACTTCCCTGCTATGATGCTTATTGTGGCTTGTGCTTATAGGCCTCAACATGGCCACTTCTCCTGCTTTGACTATTTCTATGCTTCTGAGTGTCAATTGCTCAGCTAGGTCACATGTTTGATTGTTTAGGATTCCATGAGTTGTGATCCCAAGATACTAGGCGACACTTGGTGAGTGGTAGACAGATAGGTTTCAAGCATGCAATTTTGAATGTTTGACAAAGCAAAGAAAATAATGTCAGAAATTCTGTGGAGATGGGTGGCCTTATAGAAAGCTTGCAGTAGTCTTGGATCATGCACCTTACCCATTACTGCAAAAATGTATCTATAAGTTATTTGTGCCTGATTCAGTGGCTTGTAATACCCTCAACTCTCTTGAAAGTGTTGCATACAAATCATCTATTAAAAAGGTAGCCTACGTGATATCAAAGGAATTTCTTTTAAGATTCGGTGGATGCCTTTTCAATTTTGCTTAGCTTCAGGGGAGACATCTTTCAAACTGCAATCAACTGATGCATTTCCCATTCCCCAATAATTCATATATCTACTCCTCCCCCTCTGTCTGCTTAATGCTTTTCTTTGTCTACTATCATGTACAAGCAAGGCCCAAATCCTTCAAAATGAGGGTGTTCTCAGTCATCAATATGACCGCCTGTTCATCTTTTTTGCCTTTACTTTGAGGCAAGAATTGAACCTATACAGAATGTGAATAAATAGATTGTGCCAAATTCCTCTGTTTGATAGAGGAAGTATCAGTCAGCTGGATTCAGATTTAGTCCTTCTAAGACACATTAGACTTTATTTAATTACAAATAAGTTAAAGGTAGTTTGCTCCAATTCTGCAGTTCTTCCACAATAATCATCAGGGACATTATAATTTGCTTTACAAAAGTGCTTTATGCTGTGAAGGTAACGTTATTTGCCTTGTTGAGATGCACTGAGTCACTTGAAGGTCACCTTTGGCACTTCAGTTAGCCATCAGAGTGTTCTGCTCATATTCTGTACAAGATAGAGAGAAACGTCTTCTATCTAAAAGAGATCTTAGACAGATCGTAAGTAAAACAGTTTTTCTTTTCTTTTACTTTTTAGGAACAAGATTATGTTCTTCCTGAAGCAATTGCACACTTTTGCAGAGCCTACCCATTTACTGTATTATTTAGGAGTTCCCAGAATGCTATAAAACACATTTATCATTGTTTCTTTCTATGATGTAAACTTAGTTGCATATTGGTGCAAAGCAGAATACTCAATCAGTCAATCTATTGTCTTTTAATCTCAGAATCATTGATACAGACTAAACTGAGTTTTTCGACAGGTGTATTATATGCATACACTAAATGTTGTGGGAAAAGGTGGTGTTGTCATTATTTGGTTTGTTGAGGGCTACATTTTTGCCATACTGTATTGGGCACTTCATGCAAGTTTAAAGAAGTAAGCAAAGTGTGTTGCTTTGAATCTGTTATGATTTATTTTATTTTATTTTTATTTTTGTATCAAGTCCTTCTTTGTTTCTATCCCTTCCCTATTTTTTTCCTCCTTCACATCAAGACTATTCAAGAAGGAGCAGATGGCCATTATCAAAAATCTCAATCAATAAATTGCAATTTTTAAGTTAGATGAAGAGCAACCATGAAATAAGGCTTGATACCACCAGTTCAGGGGTAAAATGCTCTCGGTTCGGACTGGATCGCCTGATCTGGTAGCGATGGAGACGGGTGGTTCGGAGAACCGGTAGCAAAAATCCCTGCCCCCCCATGCCCAGCTGAGCCGCATAATCATCAGAGGCTTTTTTTTACTTTTAAAAGCATTTTTTCTACAACCTCTTCGGCTGAAAAAATGCTTTTAAAAGTAAAAAAAAAAAGCCTCTGATGATTGCGTGGCTCAGCTGGGATCATCAGAGCCTTTTGAAAGCACTTTTTTACAACCTCTTCGGCAAAGAGGTTGTAGAAAAAATGCTTTTAAAAGTAAAAAAAAAAAAAAAAGGCCACACCCACCCTGTCACATTACATCCCCCCCACCAAGCCACGCCTACAGAACCGGTAATAACAAATTTTAGATTTCACCACTGCACCAGTTGTTCTGTAATGTAGAACATGCAGATCACTGAAAATCATCTTTATTTCTACATGGTGAAATTCTTTCATTGGATGCTGCTATGTTATATTAACGATACTTTGTTGCAAATACTCACTATGATTCATATATGTTAAAACTATGTATGTATATATCTACATATATGCATATAGATATGGACATAAATACAGATACCTTATTTGCATGAAGCATAAAGTCTATGCTTAAAGTCTAAAAAAGATCCACAATGAAAAATTATTTATCTTTAGTTATTCAATTATTGTAGAATTTCAGTTACCAGCAATCTGGCCAGCATGGTCAATAATGAAAGATGCTGGCACTTGTTTAGAAAAGAAAAGAAAACATACATACATACATACATACATACATACATACATACATACATACGTACATGTGTGTGTGTGTGTGTGTGTATTCTTTTACTCCAGTGAATCATCTCCTTGTACTCTTCCCTCTAATGGCAATGGGAACAATAGTAAATCAAGTAATAGTATTATATATGTACCTTGTAACTTCTGGAAGTCAGGTCAAATGTGCATGTTTGACTTCTGCAAAATGGAAGTCAATGTTATTTCTTCAAAACATAAATGTTAGATTAACTCCCTCCCCTTTTAAAATAGATATTTTGCATAACTACCTTTGCCTGATGGACTTAGCATGCATTTTCACAAGACTTGCTCAAGCTAAGATTTAGGGATATAAAGAAATAACAGGTAATACTGAAAAAACATTGGTTTTCCTATTCCGCTAATGTCTCATAAATTTTATAGATTATATGAAAACGAATCTTTGCAAAAATAGACCAATTTCATATTACTTAAACTGTAGGCTGAGAGCAATGGAAGGATGTTATTAATGACATTTCTGGGCTGTTCCATGCAACACTTTGCATAGAATACGCTGAAATAATAACTAAAGCAATACAATTTTTATTTTAAAGAACAACTCCATTACTTTCTAGATGTGATTGCAAGAAAACAGGTTTCTTGGGAGTTTGGGTTAAGCAGAAGGATAAACACATAGAGTGCCTATGATTTAGAAAAGGGGTATTCAAACTGGACAACTTTGAGATTTGTAGATTTCAACTTCCAGAATTTCCCTGACAGCATGGCTGGCTGAGAAATTCTGGGAGTTGAAGTCAAAAAATGTTAAGAGTTGTTCAGTTTGGAGACCCCTGGTTTAGAGTCCATTTGGCCAGTTCTGTAGTTTGTAGAATATTGCACAAAGACCTTGAAGATGAAAAATATGCAGTTTGTCATTGACTTACAACATTTCTGATATATTTGCTATCATAATGTATCCTTGCTTTATCAGGAAGATATCAGAAATAGCATGAATAATTGGTGGCATAACAAGGGCGTCACTGCAATTCATTTGCATTTTCAGATTTCTGGAATTCAGTTAATAATTTATGTATAACAATGTCAACAGAAATATCCTTGAAAAAACTTCGCAGTTTCTAACTTAATATCTGAGGAAATCAGTTAGCAGTAAAACATAGTATTGTAATATTTTTTTCATGTATTTTGAGAAGAACCTTAAACAATATGATGTATATCCCATCCTTTTATATTTCATTGGAGCACTATGAATACAATTTTCATATATTCAGGTATTTCATGTATTTCTCATTACTGTAAGCCAAACTTGGAGTCAGGAGGATATTCTTTAAAATTACACACGAGACGATACAAAATGGCATTACAAGCAATGTCATTTAATTTTTTGTGCAAAGTAATTGTTTGTGTGCTGTTCTGTGGATGTGGCTTGGTGGGCGTGGCATGGTGGGCATGGCAGGGGAAGGATACTGTAAAATCTCCATTCCCACCTCACTCCAGGGGAAGGATATAGCAAAATCCCCATTTCCTCCCGATTAGGTGGGACTTGGGAGGCAGAGAATAGATGGGCTGGGGCCAGTCAGAATTTTTACTACTGGTTCTCCGAACTATTCAAAATTTCTGCTACCAGTTCTCCAGAACTGGTCAGAACCTGCTGAAACCCACCTCTGATGTACCTGTAATGAATGCCAGGTCAGTCCTTCAACAGAGGGAGGCCTTATTACCAGGCTTGCACTTAGCAGAAGAATCTCGAAAGAGCCTCAAGTCTATTCTTACAAAAACTTAGTCTAACTAATCAACTAATTTGGGGTGGGGTTTCTGCTATTTTTTAAGCTTTGCTTTAGGGTTGACATAACCTTCTGGGAAACCTCTATTTGCTTGAATCTATGTATTTTGGGTCTGCTTAAGCTATTGGACTGGTTTGGCACTATCAATGTCTAATGCTGCATACACAAAAATGCAAATTTTTATCCTGTACATTTTCAGCCTCCAGTACTCAGAATCTTCTGGTATATTCATCACGATGAGTTGAAAAGATCCATTTAGTCAACACTGTTCATATGACCAGCTTGCCGGATGATGACACCTGTTTTTGAAGTTTATGTAATATCGTTTACCATTCTGGTCCAATTATAGTTGGCATATAGATGTTTTTTGATTTCCCACTCTCAGGTAGAGAGAGCTTGTTCACATTTTTCTCTCTTATTTAGGAAATACAGTAAAATGATTAAAATATGTCAAGGAATATCTTACCCATGCCCTTGAACAGGTGTTAAACATCATGCTTCATCATAGTAAGCAATAACGTTTTAAAAAGCTAACATTCTTAGAATGACTGTTCTAAGTCAAGAAGTTTGATGCCATGGATTAATCTCAATAGTGCTTGTAATTTGGAGGATCTGGTATTTCTTCATGCAGCTTTTCTTCTTTCTTAAACTGCACAAATGCGCTGCTCCTTGAGCATATTTTTCTTGAAAAAAGACAGAATTACAGTCTAAAAGAAAATTGTAACTTTATGTTGGCTAAATTGTTTTGCACAAGGTGGATTAGCTGCAGACTACTACAGTTAGTGAGTAAATAAAATTAGCATGGCTTATATCCTTTTATCCTTGTGACAGAAAAGCATGAAGAAAAAGCAGAATCAGGTGACTTTATTATGCTGCATCTGATAATTTAGCGAAGGCTAAATATGTCAGTGAATCATTATATTTTTCACTTTTATTCATTTTGCTTAATTATGTTTTCAGTCAAGCAGGCAGTGGTTATGTCTTAACTTACATGATCTAATAAAAAAGTTCAGCTGTTCAGCGACAGCTGAATATCTTATTTTCCAGGTGTGTATTGCTATGATGTGGATATTGGATAATGTGCATGAAATGCCTTCACCTTGGATGCCATACTTCTCAACTTCTTTGCTGGCTTCCTTTTCAGATCATTGACTAACTTCAGTTAGAGACACTTTTTGCCATCAGATTTACAAACAAACAAACAAAAAATCAAACCACACACAAGGAGACGAATGCAGGCAACAGAAAATAAGGATGATGATAAAACGATATAAGGCATGCTAATTTTAAGAGCTGTGGTGGTGCAGTGGTTAGAATGCAGTACTGCAGGATTGTTGGGTTAATATGCTGATTCTGTAAACTGCTTAGAAGGGTCTTAAAGGACTGTGAAGTGGTATATAAGTCTAAGTGCTATTTCTATCAATGGCAAGTGAGAGGATGAACAGCATAGAGAGGTGGGACATTTGTGTATCAGAAAAGGTCCACAGGTGTACCACATCAATGAGTCACAAGTGAATGTCGGATAATGTTGCACAACTGTTCAGCCAGAACTCTGCCTTGTGGGATCATTGGGGCTTTCATTGCTTCTCCCAAGTCCCAGGAATCTGTGATATCATGGAATTCTGGGTTCACAACCTGGAAATCATGCATAAGAGTTGTATGCAGTGCAGTGAAAAAGGTTGAAAACTACTCACACAGGGTGTTCAACTTTTGCCAAAGTCAAAAACAAAACTGAAGAGTAGTGTTATCCCTTAAGAGCTTGATCAGTTGAATCTCCTGCAGCATAGAATTTTACTGTCTGGATATTATCACTGATAACTCCATTATGGAATAGAGCCAGGGAAGAAACTCAACCAAACAAGCAAGAAAAGTTTTGGGATGTAGGCTACCTAGTTTCTGGAATCATTAAGTATTATACCAACATTATATGTTAGATTAGATCATAAGGATCAGTAAACTCAAATAGATGGCTAGACAGGCCGATTTAATATTTAATAAGAAAGAGGAAAGAATCTATTAGTGGAGAGTCTTGATTATCCCAATCTGATCCCTTAGGAAAGAAAGAAAGACCATTGGCTTCAAAGCAAAGTATTCTTTTACTAAAGGTATTGGTTGCAGTAAAGTCAAGCCAGCTCTGAATTCTTCCGTGTGTGCAAGATACAAAAAAGGTTCACCTACAGCCATCCTTCCCCTGTGACTAGTCTGTTTCCAGACAACCGGAGGTCGTTTGAGAACACTGAGATGTTTGGGGGTAATCCACAAATTTCTCAGGGTGCTTGGTCTTGGATTGCTTTCTCATCACATACACACACAGCTTTTTTCCCCTTTTATCCTCCTTCCTCCCTTCCAACCTTTGATGGCAGGATACTTGTGAGGCACTAAGCCGAATCAGGCAGAGCTGACATTGAGGGCAATAATGGAAGAGTTCCTTGATGAACGTAAGCAATATTAAAGCTGTGGATAAATAGGGGCTAGCTTGAAGGAAACCTCAATGCCAAGGACAGAGAATAGAATAGAATAGAATAGAATAGAATAGAATAGAATAGAATAGAATAGAATAATAGAGTTGGAAGGGACCTTGGAGGTCTTCTAGTCCAACCCCCTGCTTAGGCAGGAAAACTACACCACTTCAGGCTCAGAAGGAAGACTGATGATTTGAGGAATCACAAAAACCTACTACAGATAAACTTTTGGGGACAGCTGCATCCAAATAGAAGAAGTGGTGTAATGCTGTTGGTGACAATAAAGACAATGAAGGAAATGAACTGAGCACAGGTTTTTATATTGAAACGAAACAGCTTGGGAATGAAGTTGTTGAATCAGAGATCACCAGATGAGGAAAAATACAGTATTCTTTGTCATGCAATTTAAACTCTGCCAAAAGCTGTCTAATTTTCATTAAAACAAAATCCAATAGAAATGTTAACAATATTTATCTTAGTAAAAAAATCAGATGGCTCATTATCTGGAAATAATTATACATTTGCCATCCAAGCTATAGCATTTTGCTCCGGCTTCCTCAGAGTCAGAGTCTTAAAGAGAACATTAATAATAATAATCCAGATGGACTACTTCCCCTCCATTCCCACTACAGGACCATGTGATTCTTGAAGGAACATTTTTGATGGTCAATAGTTAATCGAAAGAAACATCAGGAGGAGATTGTAGCACTAAGCAATCCTATATTAAAATGGTGTAAGCTTTTGTGAGTTCCTGCTCTTAAAAACCATTGAGCCAATATTGCTACCAGACTTCTGATTTTTTGGCTAACATAGCATTCTTCTTACAACAGGGACAAGAATTGATATGATAGGAGGTGGCATGAACAATCAGTCAGTAAACCCTGTTGAATATGATTAGACATTAGCTTTTTGTCAAAATCCTGCATTAGCTACTTGCATAAAAATAATAGCACTTTTCTAACAACGAAAGAGTTCTGTAATGGCAGACCTCCTTGATGACTTCTTGAGATGGATTGTGTTGATTAAAAAAAAAAGCCTGTGTAAATAATGGACTGAAAATAAAATATAATCCTGAGAGCTGTTATGTGGGGGAATTGAGGGCAAGATCAGCAAATAATTAATTTGCTGCATTGTGTCCAGAGTGTTTTTAAAGTAATGCAATAATAACTTGACATTAATATTACATTACTGGTATAATCCTTTGGTTGCAAGGTGACTCGAATGATGGGATAAATCGCAATAACTAGGAGTTGCCATTCAGTAGGAAAGTGAAGAATTAGAGAAAGAAATGCAAAGGATAGGACTAAAAAAAGAAATCAAAGCAACAAGGGAAAATATAAAGTCCCTCCATAAAGAAAAACAACAACTTCAAAGACATATAAAGAAAGGCTTTTGTTGCTTGTATTTCTGAGCTTCACTATCTAGTTGCATTTCCAATTCAGCTGAGATTTGGACTAGAAAAAGATTGAGAACTATTTTTATGTAACTTGTTTCTTTACATCAAATATTGGTTTTAGGGGACCTATTCGGCCAGCTGCTATTGTTCCTTGACATCTCCACTGTTTTGCTGTAAATATCACCAGCCTTCCCCAACATCCCTGAGATTTGAGAGTCTTTGAAATTACAAGATAGAATGGCGGAGGAGGTAAAATTACAATGACAACACTCCAGTTCTTGTTAACATAGATTTGATTTATTATTATATAGATGCTCTGGCATTTGGAAAACAGCAACATTCTCTTTGATATTCTTAATTGAAAGGATTTATTTAATCCAATAAGCAGATTTACACTTACATCTAGGCATACATGTTCATCTCTCATTTATTCAGTCCTCTAAAAAATTTTCTCACTAAAGCCTAAGAGAGAAATTCTGTATTTCTGGAAAGTCTCTTATTTCTAGGTTTTGCGTGCATTTAAATTCTTTGAAATTAGTCTTCCAAGGATCATACTGGCCTGAAGAGGTCTTGCTGGAAGCAAATGTTATATACAATGCAGTTTTCACATATACATGCAACATATACAGAACTGCAATCAGAAGGAGGCACATCTGTAACTACATATGGTATTTGGCTTGGGCACCATGCCCTGGAATGACCAGTTTAAATTCCACTAGCATATGCTAAAGCTCATCTGGGCTGGAAGGTCCAATGCATATTTTGGGCAGTATCAAATTAGTCCTGCCTAATGAGATTCAGTTGCTTGAGACTACCAACATTACTTTGGCAAAGGAATTGGGGTGCCTTCTGCATTTCAGCAAAACAAATCACATTGTCTCCATCATCTGATTCAATGCATTAAAGCAAACTTAAATCAATTCACACAGGCCGAATTACAAGGCTATCATCCTGTTCATAACAGGTTGACTTAGATCAGGGGTGTCAAACAGGCGGCCCGCAGGCCGGATGCTTCATGCACAGGCCACGTCCACCCCAGCTCCGCAAAGGGAAAAAACATCATGTTACGGTAGCGTGACACCTTGAGTTTGACACCTGTGACTTAGATCCTGTGACTTAGATCCTGTGACTATCATGTTGGATGTGGCGGAGAGAAGACATTAATAACATGAGTTCTTGCAGTATCTTTCCCCAGGTAATCTACCTCTCTCTCTCTCTCTCCCTCTCTCCCTCTCTCCCTCTCTCCCCCCCTCTCTCTCTCCCTCCCTCTCCCTCTCCCTTTCCCCCCTCTCTGTCTCTCTCTCTCTCCCCCGCTCCTGCTCTTCCCCCTCTCTCTGTATCTCTGTATGCAACTGGGTGAAACTTTCAAAGGGTCCTGTTGAGCCTTCCGTGGGACATGGTTTCCATAAAGTTTTAAGGAGAGGTTACTTTGTCACATCACTATGCTTTGTACACTTGCCCTTTCAAATGCTTTCCATACTGGTGATCTACTCAATGTTATGACATTGCCCGAATGCATATTTTAAGGCAGGATTGCATAAGAAAAGTTTTTCTTTAAATACACATCTGTGTCAAACATAAGGAGCCCCACCTTTTCTTTGCTAACGTAGATAAGTTGTTTTGAGTAAAACGTTTGAGGTGAGAATAATGAATACTGGTAGGCTATGTATCACTATTGACTATGCCATGTCAAAAACCCTCACTAGCAGATCATTGACTTTAAAAGAACTGTGTGGGGCAGATTTCCTTTATATCCCTATCCCTAGACACAGAGAATCCCCTTCCCCTCCCATGTGGGCAGTGAATGATTAGTATGCACCATCACTTTGTAGGACAAGGTTAGACAATGTTTTTCCCCCAAACTTGGCACCTTTAAGACAGGTGGACTTCAATTCCCAGAATTCCTCAATCAGCATGGCTGGCTGAGGAATTCTGGGAGTTGAAGTCCACCCATCTTACAATTGTCACAACTGAGAGATCTTGTGTCTTCCCCTTATGATCAGAACTAAAGAACTGCACACACTGCTATTTTCTTAATTTAGCTCCTTTCAAGGCAGGAGACAATATTTGACCAAGGTAAAACCTTTTTAAAAGACTCTAATGGGTTGTATTCTCTTTAAATAGCAATAAGTGAAATTATTTCATTTACAAGCATTAGATATGAAATGAAGAGTCAATCTGCCAATAACAACAACAAAAAGCTTTTCACCTTGGATTCACTTTTCCCTCTTTCAAGCTTTAGCTGTTTGCCCTAAAGAGTCGTGGGCGCCTTTAGAAGTCTTATTTGTTACACAATAAACCAGTCTGTCTTGTACAGATATGCATTTTTTGTACACAATATAGCATGCCTGAGTGCACATTTAAGTACAATGCCTATACCGGAGAGAAAATAATTGATTTAAGAGAGATGACAGCTCAGTAGCTCATTTCATACTTTCACAATATAGCAATTTTTCGAAAGCCTCTCGTTTTCTGCTTTCTTCCACAGTACAGCTCATCTTGGCTTTCCATCAATTTACCTCAAGCATCTAAAACAGCAAGGGACATTTCTGAACAGCCTGGAGTATTCATCCTGGATCTGAAATGAAAAGATACCATGAGCACCTTGGCTTACTATCAGGTAAATATGTATGTTTTAAGCATCTTTTACCAAATGTGGCTTATTCTGTTAGAAGGGCTTTAGATAATTTGGGCCCGCAGGGAATTAGAAAAGATGCTGATTAGATTTTAACAATGTAAGTTGTAGGACATTACATTAAAAAATTTCAGTCCGGAATCAGATGACTATAGTTAGTGAACCTCTTTAATTATTTGATAGGATTACTGCTGTATAATTTGAAATGCCTTCTGAAATCCCAGACCTGTGTTATATAAATCAGATTTCAAAGTCTTAATACATGAGTGTGAAATATGCATGTGCATGAATTATTTTATTCAAGCAGGATGGCAATTCTTGACTCACTTTTAAGTATGGGGCACTAAACTAAATCAGACTCCAACATTACTATAATGCATTTAATGTGTGCATTTCCAACTCTCTCTAGTTCTGATTATATTTTTCTTTAGATCTTATTCAACTCTGAATCAGATATTTAAGGCCTGCATGGTACTGCTGTGGAGAACAGCTATTAGTTTATTTATTTATTCAAAAACTTTCCAACTGATTTCTGTGGGGACTATTATGTTTGCAAGAAATTACTAGTCACTTGATCCCAAACATGTTGTGCATTCTTCATATCTCTTCTACATTCCTAGCAATTCCTGGTGAAGATTTTTTTTTTTTGAAATTATCAATTTTGAAATTTAATTTTACAGCCCTGCTTAATATTTTTTCCCAAGTACTGTATGAAACAGTAAGGTATGATTCCTTCTTTCTTTAAACTGTTACCCTTTTGCATTTGTGCAAATAAACAAAAAATAAACTTCCTCATCATGCTATCAGTCAGTTAGTCAATCAATCAATTTGGTCCTTGTTATTCTGTGATGTGCTGCCATCTTTCTATAAAATGGAGGTGGACACCTAAATCCTGTATGCCTTAGAACAAGTTCAGAGGAGGGCTGTTGTTTTGACAAGGGGCTGCAAACAAATGCCTCTTTCATAAGGCCTCCTAATAGAGGCAGCAGTTGCCTTATTAACTATTTCAGAAATATATAAATATATAAGTATGTCTTCCCAAAACTTTTGCCCTTCACTGCAAAGGCACCTGCAGACTTGTTCCAGTTTTAATGCATGCTTTCTACTTTCTGTTAACAGAATCCTTGATGTCTGGATCAACTGCAGTGTCTCATCTGAGATAACATGTGTTCAGTAATTTTTCCACCTGACAAGGGAAGGGAAGTGGAGATGAAGGGACTCTTTAGACTACATCACCTTATGAGAAAATGATTCAACAAGTCTTTGGAAGACTGGACAGTCTTCAAGAATGTCTCACCTGGATTGATCATGCAGGAGGGGGAACAAGATAATTGCTAAAGAGATGTTCCAACCTGTTTCCTTTTGTTTGTGAGAGTATAGGGAAAGAACAGGAGGGGAACAGATTCTTAGAGCCTCTCTAAGGATAGAAACCATGGAATTGGAGAACAGGCAGCATCAGACCTGCTCTCTTATTCCTCTCCCACTTCTTCTCTTGCCATGAGTGGCAGGAAAATGGTGGGAGAAATGGCACTTTTGGTGCCACTTTTCCAATCCAAATAAGTAATGATTGGAGTAGGATTAGAAAACTGGCAGCAGAAGTCTTGCTCATACTTCTCCTTGCTGGTGTTGCTATAGTGGTAGGGGGAGAAGTAGAGAGGCAAGAGGGAAAGAGCCACTCTGGTGCCATGTAACTACTTCCTAGAGTGGTCAGTTCAACACCAGGGGGGCTTCTCTTGCCAGTAATTGTTACCCAAAGAGGCTTTCCCCGCTCTTTTTCTTTCTCCTTCATTTTTCTTGTGCCAAGACAGAAAAGGAATAGCACAAAATAAACCAGGGTACTGTCTTAACATCTTACCAACTATGGGCTGCTGCTCAACATGTGAAGTCTGGATATACATTAATTTTTCCAAAGAGAGATTGAAGTAACCGAGTCTGCTTAACCTTCAGAAAAGATACCTGAGTGGACATGCTAGCACTTTTCAAGTATCTGAAGAGGCTTCAGATATGTTCTCTATCATAGATTGCAAATTATGGAATAAGGGCCTTAAGTAATAGATGGGCAGACTTAGATTGCACGTTAGGCAAAACTTTCTATAAGCAAGAGCATTTTGATAATCAAGCAGTTACTTATGAATATGACAGGATATATATTTGTTTGGGATATTTTAATTTAGATTACTGCACTGAGCAGATCATCCTGCATAAAATGTTGAAAACCGTATAAATGAGGAAATATATTAAACATAATTATCAGTATTGCCCTTATTCTGTGGATGGTGGGACAGTGCAGTGCAGACATCAGAGAAGTTTCTCTTACTAGTTTTGTTTGCAGTTCGAGTACCAAGACTACCACTTGGAAAATGCAAGTAGTAGTTTCAGAGTAGGTTCTTTTACTAAGACTGGGGCTTGGGTGCCTAATCATCCAATAAAACTTTCCAAGAGCCAATATTATTAAAGCTCTCCTGAAACAGTTCTGACTTATAAGTAGCTGCTATTTACAGGAAGGAAAGAAGGAAGGGAGGGAGGGAAGTAAGGAGGGTAGGTGGGAAGGAGGGAGGGAGGGAGATGAAGGAAGACATGGAGTGAGTGACTAAGTAAGCAAGCAAGTAAGTAATATATTGACAGGGAGGGAGGGAGGGAAGGAAGGAATACATTGACAGAAAGACAGGGAAGGAGGGACGGAGGGACGGACGGAATGAAGGATGGCAGGAAGGAGAAGAACATGTTAAGGATAATTTTGTATAAATGCACCTATTTACATATATTGGAAAAAAAAAACCTTACTTTTCGTGACAGCACACAAAGAAATATAAAGATGAACAGTCCCTGAAATGCATTGAAAATTGTGAAAAGATATGCCGTGGCCACTGATCCCTGGATGACATGGAGTACGCCAAAAATCCACGTAGCCCCCAGGAGAAAAAGGAGAGAAAGTGCCCCTCGTGCACAGGATCTAGGGAGAAGGGAAAAGAGAGCTGTTAGCCTGGCTTTTCTTTCCAGTTCCTTCCCTTAAATGTGAGACACTGAGAGACCCTCGCGTTCTGCATTGCAGTGACATGGTTTCTGCTTTAGGGTGTGCTGCAGTGCCGTGGCTGGGATAAAGTTCCTATTTTGTTTTCTGAGCAGTCACCAACAAAAGTGGAAACGCTGATGGCTTTTAAACACTGGCTGTCTTAATCTTCAAATCTGTTTTCTCTAGTGTGCTGCAGAACCATATGATTTGATTTTAAATCTACTGTTGGTGCAATTCCCCAAGGTAAAACATATGTCTGTTATGAAGTATACCCCCTAAGAAACCTTGGGAAAAAAGAAATGTATGGCATGCTCTGAGGTCAGCATATGTGCCAGGCATCAGAGGGAACTTTTGGGCTGTTTCTCAGTTTCAGCCTCAGAGATAGTGCTTAGTTTGTTCAAAACACAGACTTTCTCCTTATCCTGAAACGATTTTGCTTTCACGATGCAAAGGACGTTTAAATTGTTGCAGGGTCAAGATATTGACTCCCAAACAGCTCACAGATCTGTTCCCTGAGATTGTTTCTCTCTTCTTACATTAACACATGCTAATATAAGTTTCCCCAGCTTTGGTCATGAGCTATGACAAATTACACAGTGTGCTCTTGCAAATGGACTCAGTCATTAATTTTCTGTTTCATTTGCAGCTCACTGGTTTTGAACTTCCTTTGCTGAAAGTCTCTCTCTCTCTCTCTCTCTCTCTCTCTCTCTCTCTCTCTCTCTGTGTGTGTGTGTGTGTGTGTCTTTCTCTCTCTCTCTCTCTCCCTGTCCTCCCTCTCTCTCCCTGTCCCCCCTCTCTCTCACACACAAATCTCCCACCCCCATCGTCTCTCTTTTCATGCTGCTTCCTTAGACATGTACACTATAACCATTTGACTCCATTAGACTTGGCGCTCTGTGAGAACTGATCAGGTGGAGAATGGGAGCAAAGTAATCAATCAAAGAGCTGCTAAATCCTAACTATAAATCTAGTGCAATGACTTGAAACAACGTGAATGTTTCCAAGCAACAAAAACAGTAAGTTGCTTTCAATGGTCCCTATAGCACATTCCAGATTTTCCAGCACAAATGCTTTTCAAGGTCTCTATAAATCAGTTTTTAAAAAAGCAGATTGATGGAAAAATCATAGTAGCCCATGAAATAAAAAAAGAATAACAATAAAAAACAAACCCCGGTGAAGGAGGGGAAAAAAAAAATGGAACACCTATTTCTATAATCTCTCTGGAAATAGAGTGAAACACCAAAAGCCCTACCGAGAGTTTAGAACAAGAGAGTTAAACATATGTTTGGCTCCCCTTACTAAAGAGCCTCATATCTGGATTCTTATGCAATATGAAAACTTTAATCTGGCTTGCAAGAGTAAGATGGTCATATTAGCCAGACTTAATCTCAGATTTGTTGTTTTAAAAAAAACCTCCCAAAGCTTTAACTCTGAAGCTCTAGAGCAGGGCCGTCAAACTCCTGGCCCAAGGGCCGGATGCGTCATGCGCTGACCATGCCCACTCCCGGTTTTTCAAAGGGGAAAAAAGATATGTCATGTGACACCATCGTGACGATGCGAGTTTGACACCCCTGATCTAGAGGGACCATCTTCCCAGCCAACAGCTGCAGAAGCAGAATAGTTAGCAACCAAAGTTTCTCATTTGAAAAACTTAACGTATTTTAGAAATATTGATACAAGAAGAAATAATGTTTTTGCAAATGTCTCGGTATTTTGTGATGTCAGGAGATCTTTTTGTTTTACTCTTATTTTGTTCCCAAGAGATCCTTATAAAGGGTAAAATATCAATATTCTTTTGTAAAAAAATCATCCTGTGGAATTTAGGCATTGGTCAGCAAAGTAAATACTTTAATGCAATACAGTGAGGATGTCCTTTCTTATTACATTAAGAAACTGAAAATGCTTCAAAGAGTTGTAGTTAGCTAAGACTAACATTGCTTGGTAACAATTTAAAACATGCTGCCAAATAATTCTCTCAAAGTTGTCTCTTACCTTATATTTTCATAGCAGCTAACTTCTGGCTTTAGCATGGCTGTTTGACGAAATACTTTATAGATAATTACTCCAAATGCCATCCAATTCACCTTGAGAAATATAGATTGACATTTTAGTTTAGGGAAAAAAAGCTTTTTTCATATAGAAAACAACTAAATAAATCCATTTGATGTATTCTTCAAGAAGAAAAACCACTTTATAAAGCAGCACTAAGTCCTGCAGTTGTGCAAATCAGAATTATAATTCTTTTTTTTTAATCTCAGCTTTATTAGTTTCCTTACAATTGAAAATAGGAAAAGGAAACATACAAAACTGATTAGTGTAGTACATAGAAATTATATTTATAATTAACTAAATGTTACAAAGTAGTAAATGGCATGAATAGTGGAAAATAAAGTAAAACTGAAAAAAAAAACCCCAAAAAGAACCTGAATGGGGAAAAATATAGTATTTTGTCAACTTTTGCATAGTATTGAAAACAGTATTTACATTTTTTATTTAAAATATGTCATTCAATTAGGAACATTTATTTTCTTACCCAATAATGTCTAAATATGTATAACCACAGGTGCTGAAAAAATCACAATATTTATATTGTAATTGGGATGAAGCTCTTGCCAAAATTTCAAGGGAGTCAAATAATAAATCTAACTGGGTCCCTAATAGCACATATTTAATATAGTTATTCTAATATATTGCATTATTGACATTAACAAATAAGTCAAGTGATATAGTTTAAAATCAGGAAAATAGAAACCACTATAATGAAATAGAATGGTAATTCAATGTGTTTTCCAAAGCAATCTTTAAATGTTTTATAAATGCATTGGTAAGGTTATTTGGAGAGCAGACATTCATCCTAAATTTAACTATAAAATGCAAATATTTATCTTGGGTTTTAATCCAAACCAAATTAGACAAAGAGCAACCTGAAATATTTTGCATTCCCCTTATTGCCAGAAATACAACACTAATAACAGGATGTATTTATAGAAACTTCAAGTATAGAATACAGAAATATATGAGGATTTCACAATATGTTTACATTAAAAGATTCTGTGTTATTCTGTGTTAATCTGTGTTAATCTACCATTCTTTTCATCAAACAATGTAGTAAAAGAAAAAGAAACAGAAAAACAAACGAATATTGTTTCTCTAAGTTTGAAAATATTGAAGGTAGTAATTGGTTAGAAATGTTATATTTGTTTCACTAACAACTAGTAAAAGAGAAATATAAAACTTCAGCATACAGTGAATAATAGTATCTTATATCAGACTTATGGGATACAGTATCCCATACAATAATACTTGGGCTATTCTGCACCTATTCCTATCA